TGCTCCTGGAAACATTATATGGCAATTCTACCCTGTTCTAGAGGGTTGTTAAAGTTGAAATGGATTCAACAGTAATGAGTTTTGCTCTGGAGCATGTTCTCTGTCTTGATGGTGATAGTGGTAACATGGGTGTATACAACTGTCAAACTCATCTAACTGTACCCTTAAAATGCGTGCTCACTATATTTTAAGTCAATTATACCACAACAGTGTTTTTCCATTTAAGCTTTTTAAAAAAAAGGGAAAAGAAAGAAAACAAACAAAAAAAACCACACATCTGTTTTCAATCTGAGGTTTTCAAGGTCCTAAAGGAATACTGTAATTTTTGTCAACTCTCATATTGCCAAAATAAAAAATTCCAAATCGACTACCAAGAAGTCAGTTTTGGCTCATTAGCAGCCCTCTAGGATTTCCAATGCTGTAATGTGTGTGTGTGTGTGTGTGTGTGTGTGTGCGCGCGCGTGCGCGCGCGCTGTTAAATCAGATCCAAAGGGCACAGGAGGAGATTGTCCCTTCTTATCCAGCGGAGAATCTGGTAGAATTGAACTGCGTGCCTTTGGGATTGCAGCGCAGCTTCTTGCCATTAGGTCACCAGAGCTCCCTCCAGGGCTGAAAATCTTTAGGGAAGCAAACATTCACATCATTCTCGCACAGAAAGGCTAGTGGATTCAGTCCAGTTGAATGCTTAACCCAGTATTCTATATATTAATGACTCGTACTGAGTACTTTATTGATGATGAGCTCTTCAGCACAGGGGTTACATTGTCTCCTTAATGTCTGATACAGGAAGAAGGTGGTCTTTGCGTGCCATCCATTTATTCCAACTCATAGTAACCCTGGGAGAAACTCACTAGGCCTTTCCTCCAGGAGCAGCTGGTGGGTTTGAACCTCTAAACTTCTAGTTAATAGCTTAACATTTCACTATTGTGCTATGAGTGCTCTCTTCTGAAACAGAACAGAAGTTGGTAAATGTTCACCAAATGAAGGTGTAAAAGCAAGGCAGAGAGACTCTGGCCTTTAGCCTAATGGTATCATTTAGAGTGCCTCCTGCTAATCTATCTAGAGTCATTCCCTCTCTTTGTGGTTCAAAGAGTAAGCACATAAAACTAGCCAACCTTAGAATATGCTCTCTAAATTAAAGAGTAAATATGGCAGGACATCAAAGAAGAAAGTCTAGACCAGGGGCAATTACTCTGTGTACCTCCTGAATTATTATTTCTCTTTCTACATCCTGTCTCCATGCTTGACTGTGAACTGGAGACAGGGACTTTTGTATGTTCACTGAACCAAGTAGCTACTCAAAACTCCTTTGTTGTCACTGATGAATAATGTTATTTCCTTAGGGAATACACTGCTATTTACAAGATGTAACACAGCACATAGCAACAAACAACAATATAATTGCATGAGCGGATAAACTATGGTACATGCACATATTAGAATACTATGGATCATTAAAAAATAATGAATTCTTGAAATATCAAATAAAACTGATGAATCAGCATGACATGCTGAATGAAATAAGTCAGTCATAAAAGGACAAATATTGTATGGATCTAGTACTAGAAAAAGCCTAAAAGTGTTGACATATAGAGTGATTATCAGGAATTAGTGGGGAGGAAATATCAGTAAATAGATACCAGACACATATTACAAAGGGTGAAGGAAAGGCAATATGCAATAAAGTGATGATCAACACAATATCACTAAAGAAAAAGAAGATAGACAGATGTGCAAAATGAATTAATTGTTGTTATTATGTGCTATCAGTCAGAACCAACTCATAGCTGACCCTTCAGTAAAACACACAGAAGGAGATTACCCATTTCTCTCCCACAGAATAGCTCCTGCCTTTAGGTTAGCAAGCCAGCTCCTTACCCATTGGCCACTGTGTCATGTTCAATCAATAATAAACATTAACATTCAAATGGTGCCACAGGCAGACAGCCAAGATGAACAGATATGGGAAGGTGAAACAGATGACTCCCATGATCATATGTTTAGGTTTGACAGATGATATTTCTGCATTCATATTAGTATATGCTATAAACAAATCTGTGATGATGAATATTGTGTGTCAATGTGGTTAAGTCTCTCATTATATTGTAACTATCCTATGTGTTGTATATCCTAGCCTCTATGATGTTAATGAGGCAGGGTTTGAGGCAATTATATAAACATATGATCAGATGAAGGAATAATCTCTCCAATGGTGTAACCTGCATTGATAGAGGTCTGGACTCTATGGCTAATCTAGAGAGCTTTTTATCTGATTCTATATTTGGCTGTTTATGACTACTGGGGCAGCCTACATTTCCTGCTGAGACTGGACTTCATAAATTACATAAATTATGAAGTCTTGTGTCTCCAAAACCTGCAGTCTGAGACTTTGTCTGCTGACAGCTGTTGTTAGATGCTGCCTTCGAGTATGACTCATAGCAAACAGATCTGAACCCTGCCCCATCTTGTGGCATTCTCACAATCTCTGACACACTCAAGCCCATTTATGCAGTTACTATGTCAATCCACCTCATTGAGGATCTTCCTCTCCTTTGCCATTCCTCCACTTTTCCAAGTATGATGTTCCTCTCCAAGGAATAACCTCTCCTAACAATGTGCCCAAAGCATATGAGATGAAGCTTCACCGTCTTTGTCTCCAAAGAGTACACTGGCTACACCTTTCTCCAAACTGTTCTTTTGGCAGTCCTTGGTATATTTGGTACTCTTCTCCAACATCACAACTCAAGGGCATCAATTCTTCTGCCATTCTTATTCATTGTCCAGCTCTCAGGTGCAGAGCAAGTGAATGAAAAGATCATGTATGACTTGAATCAGGTGTACCTTAGACCTCAAACTGACATCATTGCTCCACAATAATTTGGAGAGGTCCCTGACTACAGACATTTCCAGTGCAATATATCTCCTAATCTCCTGACTGCTAGTACCATGTCTATTGATTGTGGATCCAAGTAAAATGAAGTTGTTGACAACCTCAACAACCTTTTCTCCATCTAACCTGAGGTTGTCTATTGGTCCAGTGTGAGAATTTTTTAGGATTGTGCTGGTGAGTAGGATGCATTATTCAATCTATATGATGAGTAAATAATTCCTGAAGTCAGATTCTGTGAAGAAGAAGGATTGGAAGGAGACTCATCAAAGGCTTGCACTATGCAGATGACACAACCTTGGTAACTGAAAGCAAGGGGGATCTGAAGAATTGTTGCGGGGAGCTCTGGTGGCCTAGTGGCAAGGAGCTGCAACTACAATCCCAGAGGCACACGGTTCAAATCCACCAGATGCTCTGCCAGGAAAAGGAGGGACAATCTCCTCCTGTACCAGTCAGATCTGATTTGACGGTACACTCACAAAAAAAAAAAAAAAAAAAAGAATTGTTGCAGAAGATCTAAGACTAGATGGATTGCATCTTAACATCACGAAGACAAAAATGAGGATGTGCAGGGGGACAGGGGAATTAATCACAGAGTTGTATAATTTGATGGGTGAAGGGTGAGAGAAGTTGGAAGAATCTGTTCTGGAAAACAATGTATTCGAATTTTGTAAATAAACTAGTATAACAATAAAAAATGAATTAAAAAAAAAAAGAAGCAAAAGTACTTAGCACTTGGCCGGTGAGCAACATCATGATAGAAGGAGAGTGTGTTAATTGAGTGTGTTAATGACTTTATCTTGCTTAGATCTACAATCAACACCCTTGGTACCAGCAATAAGAAAATTAGATATTGCTTTGAGCCAGTCCACTGTCAGGGACCTCTCTAAAATACTCAAGAGCAGTGATATCAGTTTGAAGACTAAAGTGTGCTTAATTCTAGGCCATCAATGCCTTTGAATTGTGGTGTTGGAGAAGAGTACTGAATATCCATGAACAGTCTAAAGAACAGATAGGTCTTGGAAAAGGTACAGCCAGATGGAGGCAAAGATGACGAAGCTTCCTCTCTCATACCTTGGACTTGTTGCTAGGAGAGACTATTCCTTGAAAAAGGAGATCATGCTTGGAAGGGTGGAGGGTTAGCAAAAAAAGAGGATGACTCCCAAAGAGATGGTTTGACACCGTGACTACAGTAATGGGCTCAAGTGTATCAGAGATTATGAGGATGGCACAGGGTAGGACGGGATCCAGGTCTATTGTTTATAGGGTTGAATCATACTGGGTTTGATGGCACCTGACAACAACAAGAAGACACAAATTTTCCCAGACACCTCACACTTCTTTCCTGAGGTTTGACCCACAGATATGGAACTTGCTAATATTGTCAAGTATGTGTAGTATGTGAGCTATTTCCTAGAAATAAATCTCTCTTTTTCTATCTCTCTCTGTGTGTATGTATATGTGTGTGTGTATACCCACAAAGGAGGGTATTGCCCATCCTTCTCCTGCAAAGTGGCAAGTGGCTGGTGGATTTGAACCCTGTGCCTTTGGAATTGCAGCACAGCTTCTTACCACTAGGCCACCAGAGCTCCATTCTATCTGTATATATTTTATTGGTTTTGTTTCTCTAGAGAATCCAATCTAAGGCAGTATCTGTTTATATAACAGAACCAACAGGAGACAAAGTTATGTAAACTTAATAATCATAACCAAACACCCTAGGAAGTAAGTTGCTGATCCTGGCACTCAAGGGAACTTTGGTGACATAGGCAATGCTATGCAAACCTCTTAATCTTACCCAAACACTCTGAGGAAGTAAGTTGCTGGTATTATTGTTCAAGAGAATTCTGGTGACATATGGAACTCTAGTCCATAAGTAGTTGGACTGTTTATCCAAAGATGGTGCCTCTCTGGTGGGTCAAATCACCAGTGACTCTGAATCACCAGTGACTTCAGAGGAGAAAGAAGGACAATCGTCTTCCATTTGACTTATATATAGCATTAGAAGCTCTATGGAGGGAAAGTCAGCTATGAATCAGTTTTGACACATCACAATGGGAGAGATGGCCTGGGGACCATGGCTTTGGGGAACATCAAGATCAACTAATATAACATGGTCCACAAAGACAATGTTCTGCTTTTTACTGGAGTAGCAACTGGAGTCCTAAAAGCTTATAAGAAGCTGTTAGTTGTTGCTAGGTCACATCTAGTCAACTCTGACTTATAAAATCCCTATGCCTTTGAATCGTGATGTTAGAGAAGAGGTACTGAATATCCCATGAACTGTAAAAAGAACAAACAAGATAGATTGACATGGTGACTAAAACAATGAACTTGAACATATCAGAGATCATGAGAATGGAGCTGGATAGGGGAAGGTTGAGATCTGTGGTTCATAGGATTGTAATGAGTTGTAGTAACTCGATGGAACGTAACAACAACATGCACAACAGATAGAAACTTTACCCAACCCTACCCCAGCCTCACAAGAGCCCCTGTATTCAAATCTATGCAGCCACTGGGTGGAAGGTCTTACACTCTTTCTTTCCTGAAGGTCTTACTCTCTTTCTCTGACCTTCTACATTTTCTGAGCATGATGATTGTCTTACATTGGGTTATCTAAAAAAGCAAAATCAATGATGTGTGTGTATATGTGAGTGTGTGTGTGTGTGTGTGTGTGTGTGCATGCGTGTGTGCGTGTGTGCACTTGCCACAGAAGGTCAAGAACTGGAACCTTAAATATGGATAGAAGCTCAACATTAAGAAAACAAAGATTCTTACCACTGTGCCAATTGGCAAACATCATGATAGATGGTGAAGTTAATTAGGATTATTAACAGCTTTAGTTTTCTTTGCTCCACAATCAACACTCTTGGTACCAGCAACCAGAAAATTAAAAGACAAATTGCATTGGGAAAGTCTGCTGTTAGAGACATCTTCAAAGTACTGAAGAGCAACGATGTCAGTCTGGAGACTAAAGTGTGAGGGGCAGTGCAAGAGAGGAAGACCCTTGATGAGATGGATTGATTCAGTGACTGGGGTAATAGGGACAGGTCTGTCAGAGACAGTAAGATTGGCACAGGATAGAGTAGGTTTTAGGGCTGTTGTACATAGAACCACTATGAGTTGCAGGTGACTCAACAGCACATAACAACAACAACAACATATCTGATCAGGGACTCATATCTAAAATATATAGAATACTCTAATGCCTCAAAGAGAAAAAGATAAACAACCTAATAGCAAAATGGGCACAGGATAGGAATAGATACGTCACCAAAGACATTCAGATGGCAAACAAACGTGAAGAAATGTTCAAAATTCCTAGGTCTAAGAGAGATGCAAATCAAACCAACAATGAGATATCATCTCATCCCTGTAACAATAGCAAAGTTCAACAGAGAAGCAAACAATAAATACTGGTGAGGTTGCGAAGAGATTGGAATACTTATTCACTGGTGGTGGGAGTGTAAAATTGTGCAACCACTATAGAAGGTAGTTTGGAGTTTTCTCAAAAAGTTGGAAATAGAAATACCATTTGACCTAGCAATGCCACTACTGGGAATATACCCTAAAGAAAACATAATTGCCATCCAAACAGATACATGGACACCCATGTTTATTGATGGATTATTTACAATAGCAAAGAAATGGAAGCAACCCAACTGCCCATTAACAAATGAATGGATAGAAAAACTATAGTATATTTTCTACTATACTATTCTATACTAGTATATAATATGTGTCTCATTGGGGAAAGAACTGTCTAAAATGAATATATGATTAGGCATTATACATAAAACAACAGTCCAGAATAAGAGATATATCATTCCAAAAAGGACCAAGTTGGGGGAGGTAGATAACCGTGCAACAGTGAATGAAAATTTTTTTTAAAAAAAGTTAACAGGGGTAGTTGGCTGAGCGGTCGCCCGCCATCTTGTTCTTCTCGTGATTCCGGAGCGGAGCGAAGGAGGAAGCAGGGAGCGGGCGGCTGGGGGGACCCGCCGCGGCTGCCGCCACCGCCGCCACTGCCGCCTCTGTGCTCGTCGGGAAGGAGGTGTGAGGCCCGGGCGCGAGCCAGCGGCAGCGCCGCTTAGGGAGGGTCGGAGGCGGGAAGGCGATAGCGGATATCGACAAACTCAACATCGACAGCATCATCCAACGGCTGCTGGAAGTGAGAGGGTCCAAGCCTGATAAGAACGTCCAGCTCCAGGAGAATGAAATTCGAGGCCTGTGCTTGAAGTCCCGCGAGATCTTCCTCAATCAGCCTATCCTGCTGCAGCTGGAAGCACCACTCAAGATATGTGGTGACATCCACGGGCAGTACTATGATTTGCTCCGACTTTTTGAGTATGGTGGTTTTCCACCAGAAAGCAACTACCTGTTTCTCGGGGACTATGTGGACAGGGGCAAGCAGTCCCTGGAGACCATCTGCCTCTTACTGGCCTACAAAATCAAGTATCCCGAGAACTTTTTTCTTCTCAGAGGAAACCACGAATGTGCCAGCATCAATAGAATTTATGGCTTTTATGATGAATGTAAAAGAAGGTACAACATTAAGCTCTGGAAAACGTTCACAGACTACTTTAACTGTTTGCCGATAGCTACCATCGTGGATGAGAAGATATTCTGCTGTCATGGAGGTTTATCACCAGATCTTCAATCTATCGAGCAGATTCGGCGAATTATGCGACCAACTGACGTCCCAGATCAAGGTCTTCTTTGTGATCTCTTGTGGTCTGACCCCGATAAAGATGTCTTAGGCTGGGGTGAAAATGGCAGAGGAGTGTCCTTCACATTTGGTGCTGAAGTGGTTGCAAAATTTCTCCATAAGCATGATTTGGATCTTATATGTAGAGCCCATCAGGTGGTTGAAGACGGATATGAATTTTTTGCGAAGAGGCAGTTGGTCACACTGTTTTCTGCGCCCAATTATTGTGGAGAGTTCGACAATGCAGGGGCCATGATGAGTGTGGACGAGACGCTCATGTGCTCTTTCCAGATTTTAAAGCCTGCAGAGAAAAAGAAGCCGAACGCCACCAGACCTGTAACACCACCAAGGGGTATGATTACAAAGCAAGCGAAGAAATAGATGTCATTTTGACACCGCATAGTTGGGACTTGTAACATACAGTACATAACGTTTCATTTTTAAAACTGTAATGTGTCCTGGTCAGCTTGCTCAGATAGCCCTGTG